TGAGTAAAACATTTTTATAACTGATCCAGTAGTCTGGGGAAGGATGGGAATGCACCTAACAAGTTATTGAAAATTCGAAAGGAACTAAACTATTTTTAAAAATATTTCAGGAAATCCTGAATGGAAATGTTAAATTTTGTTTGGATATCACAATTGTTGGTGCCTTAGGAGGCCGGTACGGGTTGGTAGCACTGGCTATTCGCGGGTGTTGAACCAGAGTTTGATCTGGGGCCAGATTCAGGGGCGCTTCCGCGGCAAATTTCTTCGTTTATTGCTTAAAAAAGATAAAGACGGGAAATTGGTGCTGGTCAAAGGGCCAATTCCAAATATATGGCCCCCAAGCTTGAAAAGTCCGGGCCGGAAGCCAAAATTTTCAAGCATGGCAGGGACCGACCCGCATTTCTGAAAAGCGGGGGCGCCTCAATTTTAAAAAGAAAAAAAATCTTGCTTAACAGTGTAATTGCCTTTGGCGTTTAAAAAAAAATTTTTCTTTGCCTTTCTTCAACTAAATCCACCAAATATTGTTGGGAAAAAAAATGGCATAAGAAAAAATGACTCAATAACAGCAGGTGCACATTTTGGAGATGGCTAGGGCTGCAATCGACTCAAATTCAATCAACATCGAGTTTGAGTTGAGCGTTAATAATATACGAGTCGAGTTCGAGCAGTCATTTGTTGGGTTCAATTGCCCGACGAACTGCTCAAAAATCTCGAGTTGATGCGAAATTATAAAAATATCCATACATCAATTAAAATCGAACTGACTTCGATCTCCTCGCGAACCAGAATGTCAAGCGAAATTCGAGCTGACGTCTTGAACTGCTCACGAGTTAGAAATAAGTTCAGTTTAAAATTTTCTTTTCCTAAATCGAGTCGAGCTCGATCTTCATTTTTTCGGTTCGACGAGTTCGAGCTCGCACATTAACAAGTCCAACTCGATTTGATAAATTCAAAACCTGGCTCAATTCGATTTGCGAAATTATTTTTGACTTTCTAATTACTTGGGCTAGAAATTTGTCACCCTTTTGTCACCCTCTCATCAGACATCCAAAGTAGGGCTGCAAACGAATCGAGCCGCTTGCGAGCGGCTCGAGTCGAGCTCGACATTAATCGAGCTCAGAATGACTCGAGCTCGATTAATGTCGAGCTCAGAATATTAAGCTCGTTAGCTCGCGAGCCTTGAGTATATATATATATTTTTTTATTTTTTTTATTTAATAATAAAATTATGTATATTATATATATTTTTTTATTTTTTATTTTTATAGTAAAATTACGGATATATCTTTAATATTTTATTATTTATTCAGAAAAAAATATTATTTTATTTATTTTTTAAAAAAATAAAATAATTTTTTTTAATTTTTTTCGAGCTCGAGCTCGAAAATCGCCAGCTCGTCGAGCTCGAGCTTGATAAAATTTAGCCGAGACTTGGCTCGATTAGCTCAAAACTCGACTCGACTCAGCTCGTTTGCAACCCTAATCCAAAGTCATGGAACTCAATCCTGTTCAGGCTAATCCTGTTGCCCTACATTCGTGCCTGTAATACAGCCAAACTTCAATTTGCTATATGCTCAGATGATGATGGCGAGCTACCACCACTCCAACTTGATTTCGGACTAAGGAGATCCTTTCGGCGGTTGGCTCAATAGGGCATGCCACGTAGAAGAGGAGATGCGACTGCTCAACCACCTAAGAGATAAGAGCAAGAGGCCCGTACACTAGGGAAGGGTAACCCTCAGAACAATTACAATTAATCTATTTTGCATAAATTTCATTTGTTGCACACAAAAAATTTATATTCAATTTTTGTGAATGAATTTTGATTTATATTTCTATACTAATTTAGTAGTTACATTAGGTGGTCATAAGTAGATATATTAGAAAAATGTTATTAAGTGATTTTTTCTTGTGCGGTTTTTTTTTCCAGCAATATTTGCAAGATTTAGCCAAAGAAAGGTAATGATTTGTTTTTTTTTTTTTATGCTGAAGGTAATTACGCCGTTAGGCAAGTTTTTTTTTTTTTTTTTTTTTTTTAAAAGCGTCCCCCTCTCCCCCGCATTTCAAAAATGCAATGGGGCATTTGTTGCCAATCAGTCCCTGCCATTTTTCTTTAAAAAAATATTTTTCCACCTCCAGCTTGAAATAATTGGAGCTGGTCCTTTGACTAGCGCCAATATGATGCCTTTTCCTTTTTTGAAAAATAAATGAAGAAATTTGCCCATTGTTATAGCATATTCTAAAGAGTTTATGGAAAGTCGATAAAGGCTTTTCTTGAGTCATTATTATTGTGACTATTGACTCCATTGAAATTGTGAATTTTGCGTTTGAAAAAACTGAAATTTGAAAATTGAAATCTAAAATCTAAAATATGAATCCATTAAATTATTGAACTTTTAAGTAGTAAATTTAATATATTTGAGTGTATATTATATTGAGTGATAAGTGAATAGTTTATCACTTATTTTTTGGAGCAAATAGTGCCTAAAAATTTAGTGTCACTTAATTAATTTAGATGTCAATTTTTAGTATACCTGATAATTGGCCGAGTTAGGCTAGTTTATATTGGATTTTCACTTAAATAGATTATACCGAATCCGGCCAACTTTAGATTGGATTGGGTCATGTCAAACCCATAACCCAAATGTAATCTAACTTATTAATTAATATATTTTGATACATAAAGTTTCTCACGTACATTTACATACACAAAAAGATTTTTTTGACATACATAAATACATTTTCACATATATAAATATATTTTCATGCACTAACACACTTTCACACACACAAAAGCACACTCACTTCTTAAACTCCTTGGAAACACATCATAAATAGAATAATACTTTATATTACTTGTATTGTGAATTTTAGATAATAAAGTGTACATTTAAATAGATTAGCTAAACAAATTCGTTTACTTTATACTTTTTAATACTACTAATGATTGAAACTTATTTAACATTTTTACCATTGATATCTGCTTTATTGTAAGTTCTAATATTTAATGTATTTAAATTATTGAATGCTAAATTATATTATGCTTGAAAATGTAATTAAAAGACATATAATTTGTTGTATTATAATATTGATGAGGAATTTGTTAACAATAAAATAAAACAAGTTAGAGGAAAGTAAAAGAATGCAATTAGAACAAATTTAAAACTCTATTATAGGTACACAAAAATATTAACAAACAGAATCAAGTAGCAATAGGATAATAACAATAAAAGAAAAGAAAAAAAAGGGGAGGAAAACAACATACTTTTAAAAGGCATAATAAATTGTCATAGAAGTTGAGCAACTATAACTATTGTTCTAAAAGTAAAATAAGCATGAGTTTTTATTTCAAGTTTCTTTTTTATTTTTAAATAAAAATTAAAATATGATTGAAAACATACATACATATATATATATTTTGAATACAAAATGGTCAATAATTTGTTAACATATGTCCAGATGCAAGTGGCTTGGCATATGTGTATTGAATTTTGTATTTATTATTTTGAACTATTTTCAAACAAGTTGGGCATTGGGTGGCCAGATAAAAAATCCAACCCGTCCAATAAATAAGTTGGGTTATTCTTACTCAACCCAACAAAACCCATAACCCAACTCATCCAACTCATCCTTTAAAATTAATGGGCGGGTTGTTGGGTTATAGATTTTTTTTGCTAGCTCCAATTTTTAATTATTAAACACAACTAAATATATTAAAATTTAAATCCATTAAGTTTAAATGATAAATTAGATTATCAAATAGGGCCTTACTCTGCTTCCTTCAAAGTAAAGTTTTTGTTAATTAATTACTCCCAACCTTTTGTAAATTTGGGATTTGATTCTAGAGTTACTACATTACGACCCACATTTATTGTTGCTAGTTGCCACCCAAAGGATAGATAGCACGAATCATAGTTATGAAACATGGCCCAACAGTTTAACTGGTCAACTCAATAAATTTTTTTTTCCTGAGAGAGGGGGTATTCGGGTCATCGGGTAAACTGAACCCGACTAATCCCCCACCGGTCCTGAAGGAGAGGCCCCTTCCCTCCGAACACGATAATCATGGGGACTCGAACCCTGGTAAAAATGAATAACGGCTCCTAAAGAGGCTTGCTGTGACCAACTGAGCTGTCATGAGAGGCGATCAACTCAGTAAATTGATTACTTAATTGAGCCAGATCAATAGTTGGACCAAATTAGAAAGAAACTCGTTAACTAGACAATAATTTATTGATTTGATTAGTAAAATCTCAAAAAACCAACCAGTTCAACCACCTATTTGACCCACAATATCTTTAATAATTTAAACATGTTATTTTATTACTCTACATTATATAACCATTGAATCAACCAATAAACTTGCAGTTCAACTTCTAACTTTGTTGAACTAATAGCCCTTTTGGGTTGATATCCGGACTGGGTTTAATAACTATGCTACTGCTGCCTCTTAACAATGATAACGAGTTAGCTTTGAGCAAGCTAGCTCCTTCAAAGTTCAAACCCGTTCTGGTGAGAGGCATTAACCCCTTACCTACTTCCAGGTCAACTGGCTCCTATATCAAATGATCAAATCTTTTCACTTGCAAGTCCTTTCGATGTCATCATTTGGCTTTGTCTCTATCTTCTTGGATCTCATCAACTTAAATAGACCCATACCTAGGATTCCAAAGGTTAATTACCTGTCCATTCAGCCAAGCCATTGAATGTCACACCAAACTTTGTTTCCTTATTCATTTTTCTTTCTTTTTCCCTCTTGTTTTTGGTGGCAACCTACTCATTTGAAAGTCTTTAAATTGTGTGAAAAATCTCTTGTATTCCCCAGCAGGTCAATGTTTTCATTTTCTTATTCAAACAGCACAAGGCAAACAGGCTGGTCAATCTAGTTTTAAAGACTATTGGAAGCCACAATGCCAGAATATACCACTCCTATTATAAGGCAAAAAAAAAAAGAAAAAAGAAATCAAAATCTTGAGAACCAAATTCCAAAAAACCTTTTCTGAACCAACATAATATTTTGTATTCAAACCGAGTAAAAAGGATTAGGAAAAAAGGAGTTTCATCTTGCACGGAGTAAACTCCATACCATCATCAAATTGTAGTGATGTTCATAAATAGCCTGTTAACAAAAGCCTACGGTATACATGTGGTTATGTCTACTAAAAATAAAGGCAACTGCAGAAGGTCACAAAACTCTCCAGCTCCGCTCCACAGCATTGCAGATCCTAGATATGCAGAATGCAGCGCTCAACGGATAATCAGAAACTGCAAGAAGTCATTAGAAATTAGATGGCTGAAAACAAATTATTAGCAAGATCATCGACAAGCTACCACCATAATTCACCCCTGGAAGGCAAATTCTCAATCAGCAAAAGTACTGAAATGCAGAGATCAGTTTCAGATTAAATTTAACATGGACTTGTCCATACTTGTACTAAAAGAAAACCGGACTGTACTTGCCTCACAGTAAAAGATCGCATAACTGGAAATTTTGGTTAGGTTTCTGAACTGAAATTAATGCATGCTTGCTAATGAGTCAACGAACTATGCAGACAAATGATATTCATCAAGTACCTGGGAATTAAGAGCATACAAACAAGTGTATTACTTTTTTCCTCCTCATCTTTGTTACAGCATATATTCAACTAATAGGAACAAATTATCAAGCATGCTGCCCTGTGGTTGGTGATTAACGAATATCAAATAATCAGAAAATGGAATATCATGTATGGCAAATTTCATGCACTCTATATCTCCAATATGTTATCTCAATTGCATGCTTGGTATGTGCAATTCTTCTTCCTCAAAGTTACAAATTCCCATATATGGAAATTTTGGTTATATACATACTGAAATTAACACTCACTAAATAATAAGACCATGCAGAAGTTATATTCATCAAGTACCAGGGAAGTAACATCAGACAAACAAGTGTACAACCTTTTTCCTCTTCATCTTTCTTACATCATTTACAGTCAACCCTATGAGCAAAACTATATAAAAACGCTCACATTTAACAAATATCATACAATAATAAAATGAAGTATCATGTCTTGCACATTTCACGCACTTGCATCTCCAATGTGTCATTTCAATTGTATCCTTCATATGTTCAATTCTTCTTCCTCTTATTCAAATGGCTAGATGATGAAGTAGAATACTTGAGTGCAAAAGGCATTCTACTTAACGGAATATTCTGGAAAGCACAACAGAACTTACTACAAATCCTAGTTAGCATAAAACAGTGCACCATTAGTAAATATACTCTTAGCTGCAGTCTAGATAAATTAAAAGGCTGAATGTCTCATGGTCAACATTCAATCTGCTAGGCACTTAAAATCTGTTCTCGGGTTCATGGCAAACTTGCAGAGCTTTTATATTTTAAAAACACACTTAAAACCATCCTTTCTTTCAAGTCACAGCACCCATTTAAGGCTAAATTACGGGTCAGCCTATTGGGTCATTTAGCACTTAACATCTCCATAAAGGCACTGCCCTCTAGTGTTTCATTTTCTGACATTTTAAACAAAAAACAGTTCATTTGAAAAATCACTTGGAATGTTTATATCTCCATTAAAATGAAGTTTTGAAAGTCAAAACAAAAACCAATTATGCATTAAAGTTTGACAAGGGGAACCAACACACTGGGCATAAGTTGCCATATGGCCAACAAACTCTAAAAGAGCCTCTACGCATTAAAATTTCTTCTTAAAAGATTAGACTCGTTGGCTATGTTAAATCAACTGAAATTTGTGCAACTACAAGCTAAACATCTTCAACATCAACTAATAGGAGAACCAACACCCATGAAGAAACCAATATGTATGTTTCAAAATGTATAAATATAAGATGTAAGACCAAAAAAAAAAAAAAGCGAGCAAATTATCTTACTTGATATAAAATCCTCAACATAATCAACATCAATTTTTCCATGAGCCATCGCACCAACCTGTATAAACAAGGTCAAGTATGATGCAAGTTTTAATTGAAATCAATGACTACAAAATTTCTGTTTATAGATAAGCACACAGCATACCACGAATACAAGGTTCATCTCATTACCAACAGCAGCGACATAATCTTGCATATCAACCAATTTTTGCGAACTATGTGAGAAGCCTGAGAACCAATCAAGTAAGCTGATTATTCAAAATTTATCGCTTGGGGGATGACAACAATGAGAAGGCAACTTCATTCACCTATTTTCCGAGAGTTGATGGGCAAATACTTGGTTACAGGATTCTGGATAGCTTGCAGAAGTTTTTCACGCTTACCAACAGCAGTTATACTCAGTTTTTGTAACAGCTGCACTGTAACATTACAGAAACATTACAAAGCTCTAATACGAATATAATATAACCACCTGGAAGAAAATTCAACATTCTCAAGGTAAAAAAGTAATTGCCAGGTGGAAAGACTAGTCAAACTTACACATGATGCCAGAAAAACGATCAAATGTCCTTGGAATACGAACATGAGGTTTAATTTCAAAGAGCACGCCTTTCTCAGTCTTCACATACAAAGCTTTCATTCTACCAGATTTATTAAGTGTACTGTCCAAAATCATCAGGATTGCCTGAATAAATAACATTCATGTCATGTGCAGTTTTAAAACACAATGGAACTCAGACTCAAAAAAGGGAACAAAAGTCAAGCTACTGAGAAACACAAACAGATTTTAAATTTTATAAGCAGTAAAGTACATACTAAATGAAGCTATGAACCTAACACCAACTTTTGGCAAAAAAAATGTGCAGCACAACACAAATGAATGGGTAACTCATGCAAATTATCTTGAACTACTGTGATGGGAAAGGGAAGAATGTAGATTTTTTGCCATTGCTCAAGTCAGAAAGCAGGAAGGTAAAAGAAACAAATTTCCTCAAAAAGTCTCCAGAAATTATTAACAATAAGTCTGAGAATACAATAAAAATAATTTGATGCAGACCAAGAATTTTACAGGTTAGGCCATCTACCACCATGTATTCAAACCTTAAGGGGATTTTAACAAGTGGCCACAAATCCTGTCAATATCCTATCTACCTATTTCCTCCCCATCCTAAAACCAAAAAGATAGTGACTTTAGGCAGCTGTTTACTCCTTGATTTCCTCTCAATCCACTTCTTAAGCAATCATATGAAGATTAATGATATTCAGTCCTAAATTTTGAGATGGAAAAAAGCAAGTAACATAAAAGGAGCCAGAAGTAAGAGCAGGAATACACTGTCAGAAAGCCAAACCCAGTCAGACACTAATCTTAACTAAAATCACATAAGATGCTGAATTCAAAGTTTTTCATAATTACATGGGCTTTCACATCCCCAACAACAGCTTAGGGTAGCATAAAAGTTTGAATTTTTGCTGATTTTATTGCTGGTAAATTGAGATTCATCTATAGACACTTAGCAACCCCTATGTTAACGATGCAACTGAAGAAGCAGTGTATTTCCTTAGGGTATCAGACAGACTCGGCACTGTTCAAACAAATTCACCTGATGAGCAATGTCAGGCCGGTAATCAGCTGGATTCCGTCCATTTCTCCTCAGAAAATTCGCATGCTTGTCTGAGTTCAGAAGTTGATAATTCTGCATTGTCAAAACAAAACAGAAACAACATAAATAAGTAAACCAAAACAACTGCTAGACCCCTAAAACACGAAACCCAAGAACATAATATACCTTTCCCACTTTTGCAACCTCCAGAGAAGCCTTTTCAAGAATGAAAATAACCCCAGGTTTATTGGCGTTTTTCTGGTCATCAGCAAGAACAATTGGAAGGCTGGGAAGTTCATTTGCTAGTTCTTCAGCCCTTCTCTTCTTTTCATTCATATTCTCCTCATCTTCCTCTTCCTCTGCCCCTCCCTCTCGTGGGACAGATTTTTCTACATATTCTTCTTCTCCATTTTCTTCTTTATCATATTGCACCTTATCTCTCTTCCTTTTCTTGTGCCCTTTCATTTTGTAATGCCTCACCATTTTTCCTTGATCAAAAGCTCAAAAGAATAAGCTTTTTGCTTGGAGAACCGGTTGAGCAGGGGAGATGAAATGAGAAGACAGAGGCAAGCCTTTGATAATTTCTACCGGATAGGGTTTTTCGAGGGCTTAGATACCCGATTTTCCAAGATTCGTATAATTACATTCTTGGCCCTCAATATTAGGGAAATTAATTCTCTGCTTTTGCAATTGCATTCTTGACCATCAATATTCGAGAAATTAATTATTTGCTTTTACTCTTTTATTTATTGTACTATTTACACATCAAAACTAAATATATTTCCATTCTTTTAACTATAAAAAATATATAACAACGTTCAATCTTATGATTCAAATTAGTACATGTTACATGCCGCATCTGCATATAACATTTGTAGCCTCTTTTTTTTTGGTGTCTTTTGATTTTGTATTTAATCTGCATTTTAAGTTAATAATCTTGTAAATAAACATTTAAGGAATATATTTATTTGGATGCTTTTAGATTTACATAATTAGGCCTAGTAGTTATCACAAAATTGAACTGATGCACTTGGACTAATTTAATCAATTTTGAACCAAAACTTCTAAAATTTCATAATTAAATCATCAATATACTCCTGAAAATTTAAAGCGAGTATTTTTGGAATATTACTTTTATTATTTAATAGAAAATTTAAAAATTAATGTTCTATCTTGTTTTTGAAAAATTCGTATAAAATTTCTACACTATTAACTTACATTAATTAGTTTTAAAGGATAACAATGAAATATCTAGATCTTTTTTGAAGTGATTATTCCTTCACGATGAGTAAAAACCTTTCTGTTTTTGTGACTCAAGAGCTGCACACATAAAAGTGAAGCTCTATTTAATAATAAATTTTTTAACTAGTGACATGAATATGGTATAAAGGAATTTTTATGCTGTTTATGAGGGTAAAAATGATTAATCCTTTTCTTGAAAAAAAGACCTTTTTCATTTTTTAAGAGGCAAAATAACTATTACATTAAGAAAAATATTAAAATAAAAGAAACAAATCCAGATAAACAATATGTATTTTGTAAACCTATAGTGGGATAATTGTTTGCAAATTGCAACTATACAAAAAGGTTTTTAGTTAAAATTGACAAAATATAAGGACCGGATATCGCCCGATGCCTATAACGGGTCGGTTCAAACAGTCCCCGCCGACCCATTCCTTGGCTTACTCAAAAAAGTTAATGGCGGCCAACTTCGTCCGCCGGTAAAACCCACTCCAAAACCCTCCCCTCTCTCTTTCTCTCTGAAAAAAAAAAAAAAAAAAAACACACACACACACACTTATTGTTCATTTGATTCTGTATTCTCCCAAAAAAATGGCGAATCAAGGTGGCGGGACCTTGAAATCGACGTCGATAAATGGGGTGAAGATGTACACCGTCACCGGCCAACACCGGTCATTGGCCACCTGGCTTCCTCCCAAGAAGCTCCGAGCTCTCCGCAAAGACAAAGGTCACCCGGAAAGCTCCCCCTTTTCTACGTTTTGTTTAACAATTGTTAGAATTCTTTCTCTGGCTTCCCCTGTTGGTTAATCCCTTGCCTTTTGTGACTAATTTTTGAGCTGATTTGAAGCTTAATAAGTACTTTGGATTAATGCTAGGGTAATTTGGAACCAGTTGTAGTAGTTATATCGTGAATTTTGCGCACCTAAGTTTCTTAGAGTGTTTTGATTGTGAAGAAAACTGCCCTTAGGGTGCTCCCCCCCGGGGGGGGGGGACGGAATTGTTGTACATTTTAATGAGTTGATTGCAATATGAACTTCAACTTTGTCGACCACTTTTCTTTGTCAGATTTGCTTACTTTTGAAAGCTTGTGGCTTTGCAAAGTTGACTTAATATTTATGTTTGTGCCGAGGTTTTAGATTATATGCAGAGAGTGGATTTGATCCAGGATTTGAGGTTTGAAACTGCAACAAGTAGAATTAAGGCAACATCAGATGGGGAATACCTTATTGCCTCAGGTGAATATTAGTAGTTTTGAATCATAAAATTATACATGCTCCTGCTTTGGATTTATGTTTTGAGATGAAATGTGGGTGAGTATCAAGCTTTTATGTTATCTTCAATTTTAGGAATATACCCACCACAAGTCAAAGTGTACGAGTTACGTGAGCTATCCTTGAAATTTGAAAGGCATTTGGTGTCAGAGATAGTAAACTTTGAGGTAATTTCTTCATCTTGCAATCTTCCTTGTGGATGCTGCATATGATTAGCAATGTATTGCTGCTAATTTACTGATGTGAGTTCCTAGACTATATGCTTGCTCTAACCCAAGAATTCTTTTGCATGGTAGATGTGGTTTCTTTGTGAAATGTGTTAATGCATCACATTTTTCAACTTGTGAGTATATACTCTTGTGTTATATTCTCTTTTTTTTTTCTTTTTTAATTTTTCTAGCAGCGGAAGAGTGGGATTTAACAAGCAGGAAGGGGAAGGGGGATTTGAACTTAGGATAAGTCCTAAGGCCTCAGTGTTATATGCTTTGTCATGATAAAGATTAAGTCATCTCAGTGAAGTATTTATTACCTTGAATGAACTTCTTTACTGTCCAAACTGGACCCTAACAAGATTATTAATATCCTCTTATGTGCCATGCATAAGTGTGTAGAAACTTTTAATCTGGCATACTGATTTATGACACAGCTGTGCTGGTGGGGTAGAAATGATGACCTCTAGAAGGATGTTTTAATGGTGATCCAAAGAGTCCTAAAAATGTTAAATGGTTCTTAGTAATCTGCTGGTCAGCTTAGCAGTTGTTTATTTGAATTTAGGAGTCAAATGTGGTGTGTCTCTTTTTGCATATGAACGTTGCTGAAATTTTTTTCTTCATTCCACATTTGTTTTTTTTTTCTTTTATGATCTTAGTTGGAGTCTTCGTTGTCTTAGTTGGGTTGTGGACTTGAGTAATATAGGCGGTTTTTATTTCTTATACTGTTCTTGCAGCTAGTCTATTACCATAGAGATTTGATTAATAAGCAAATCATGTCCATTGAGAATTATTCCCTCTCAAATTCCCATCATTGTCTTCCCTTTTTGCCTTTTTTTTCTCGTCACTTTTCTGGGGTCCTGTTGACAGCCTGAAAACAGACTTAGATTCTCTTCAGTCTTCTATTAGCACTGTTAGGAGAGAATACCATAATATTGTCCTCAGTCAATTGGCCTGTCTTTATTCTTTGCTGAGAAATCTTGTCTTGTAGGAGTTTGTTTGATTTGTACATACCTTTCCTGCAAGCTTTGTAGTTTTAGTATAGGTTCGTAAATAGATTTTATATTGAATTCTGAGGTGATGGCTATACCAGTGAAATATATTTCTATTTCTTCTGAAGTGTCTGAAATGTCTCTCTCTGTTTTCTTGAAACAGCATTTTGTGAATTTTGGGTTTTCTTGCTCTTTTAGGTCTTGAGTGATGACTATTCAAAGATTGCGTTTCTCTGTGCTGATCGTTCTGTTTGCCTACATGCCAAATATGGAAGTCACTACACCTTGCGGATTCCAAGGTACTTTACTAACCAATCTTCATAATATGTCTTTGCTGGTGATCTCTAAGGAATATTGCATGTGAGATTTCCTCCCCTTTATCTCTTTCATCTTAACTTAGTGATGGAAAATCGTTCGAATGCTTTGGATTTGAAGCATGTACAAGTCTAGTTTTGCTCTACTTAGGAAGTTTGGCATTTGCTGTTATATAATAGGATTCTGATTCACTAGGCTAGTTCAATAAAGCGCACATATTCATCTTGAAGGTAAGATGAAAGGTTGAGCCTAAAGTTTGATGATATAAATGTCTTTGTTTTTTTAGGCAATGATTTAAATGTCTTTATTAGTTAGGAAGTACAGATCTTTGTCATATTTCATCCAAAAATTAGGAACTCCTCCTGTTTATATCGATTCTGTGCTATGAGAGATTTAAAGAATGTCCCTTGAAGCTGTCTGAGTACAGGTTTTCCTGATCTCTATTGATTATCAAAATTTTCTTGTCTGCCCTACTCTAGGTTTTGCTGGTAATGGTTTTTTCCTGTAAAATAATGTAAATGTGGTTTTCACCTAGTGAAACTTGTTCTTTTTGGTTAAATGAATGAAAATATTTAAAAATGAGGAAACTGTAGTATGAGCAAACCTAGTTGTAACTGAAGTTACATGAACTGTAAGTCACCTGTAGAGTCACCCCATACAAGAAAGGCTGGAACATATTGACATTGGTGAACAAGATTTGTAGTCATGTTGATCCTTGCTGTGTCCATAACTTATAGGCAGTCAACTTTGACAAAACTTATATTCATGTTGCATAATTAAAGCCCTAAGTCTCTGGTAATAATTGTTATAAGTCCATATCAACATCATCACATGGTCTGGTACAAAGTCTAATTTTGATATAAGCAAATAGTCTTTTTGCATATGTGCTGATGGGAAGTAGTATGGATCCATTCATTTCTAAAAGATTGATGGGCGTCGTCACTTGATTGGCTCCATTCCATGTATTCTCTTCTGTTGCCTGAAACCTATGTTTTCTCTCGCGGATTCCCCAACTTTCCTAGATTTTTCTTTTCTCCTCTAACATTTGCTTGACGTTTTGGTTTTTCTTATTGTATGAACAGGATGGGAAGGGATATGGCATATGATTGCTGGTCGTGTGACTTGATCTGTGCTGCTTCATCTCCGGATGTATATAGAATAAATTTGGAACAGGTCTCTTAAAAATTTCTTTTGCTTGTACCCTCTCATTGTTTCTATGGGATTTTTTTTTTTTGCCTTTTTCTAAAACTTATTTGGAGTATCTTTCTTCAAGTGCTTTGTTTACTTTATTTTCTTCTTTGCTGGCTGTTTTGAGGCAATAGAAGACAGTCTTGCAGAGGCTGTGATAAACTCCAACTGAACTTGTAAAATCTCAAATCCCATGAAACACTGCATGAGGAGATAAAGTAACACTAAGATATTATTGTTAATGTTCACTTTCTCCTCCTTTCCGTACTTCACATTCACCTTGTTCCAGGATGTTTGCACACAACCTAGTGGTTGTTGGTATTCATTAAATTAGTGATCCAGGCTGGAAGTCTAAAAAT